GGGTTTAGGGTTCAGGGTTTACGCCTCTTCAGACACCGTTACTGTAAACCTTATTAGAGAACCCTTTTTCACACAATCCTATTATGGGAACCCGCAATCAAACGCCTCTCTAAAGCCTAAACCCGAACAAGCCGGCAGCGTGGCATATGTTCGATCGCGGTAGGCCCCCTGTCCACCATCTCGGACGGCCTTTGCCTCCCAAGGTCAAAAAAAGGGGCCTTCGAGTGAGGGAGATGGCGTGAATGTAGGGGCCTTAATGAGTAGAGTAGGGTTCCTTTAGAGGGATCCGTAAAGGGTTCTATAAGGGATCTATGACAGGGTTCTATAGTAGGGGCCTTAATCAGTAGAGTAGGGCTTTGGGTTGTATTATCCTAGACAATTATACTACGGAGCTCCCAAAGATGGTATAGGAAATAATTCAAGCCCGCTGTATTTTTATTGGGGTTCTCTGTCCAATGTATTCGGCAGTCGCGGTTAACATTGTGGATGTCCTGCGTTTTGGGCCCAAGGAATCCAGTGAGTGATGGAGCTACCCCTAGACCCTAAACCCTAAACCCTAAACCCTAAACCCTGGCTTAGGGTTTAGGGTTCAGGGTTTAGGGTAGGGCCCTTATAGGCTTAGGGTTTAGTGGGTTCAGGGTTTAGGGTAGGGCCCTTATAGGCTTTGGGTTTAGGGTTCATGTCAGGGTTTGGGGTAGGGCCCCTAAGCGTACTTTGGAGCGGTACACATTTTCCGCCAAAGTCGAAATCTTTCCACAGTTCCGCTGCAGGCCTTAGGTGATTTTTCCATGTCTGGGATCTATGCTGGCATAAGATTACACTGATCTGTTTCTGCGTCGGGACAGGCCTATCTATACCCAATACGTAGCTCCTTTTTGGACATTATGCTATAATTCCTTACCCAAAAAACCACAACAGACCCAAACAGGAACTACATTGGAGCCCCGGGGTAGTTGGTCTAAGTCCTGAGGCAGCAGAAGGGCTTACTTGGGTTTGGGGTTTAGGGTTTAGGGTTTACTTGGGTTTAGGGTTTAGGGTTTAGGGCTTACTTGGGTTTAGGGTTTAGGGTTTAGGGTTTAGGGTTTAGGGCTTACTTACTTGGGTGCAGCAGATCTGTTCGATGGGGCCCCTGCAACCGAGGCCTCCTGGGCTTTAAACACTGGGCCCTACCAGCACCCCCCCAAGTACCCTTTAATAGAGCCCTTATGGTCCTAAATAGTGGGTATTTAGGGTATAATAGAGAGTAGTTGGAGGATGCTGGTACTAAGCCTAACCCAAAACCCCTAAGCCCTGAACACCCCAGGCCCAGACCGCGAAACCCCGAAAACCGCCTAAGGCCCTAACAAAAATCCGTAGTGTAAGTAAGCCACTCTCCCTAAATCCCAAACCCCTAAACCCTAAACCCTAAACCCAAAAACCCTAAATCCCAAACCCTAAAGCCTAAACCCTAAAACCCCAAATCCAAAACCCAGAACCTAAACCCTAAACCCTAAACCCCAAAACCCAGAACCTAAAGCCCTTAAGCCCCAAACTCGGACAGCAATCGCCTCGATCTTCTCCTGCATGTACTCGGGCTTCGGCCACGCCTGTGACAGTAGACTCTGATATAGGCTTTAGGGTTTAGGGTTTAGGGTTTAGGGTTTAGGGGTTTAGGGTTTAGGGTTTAGGGTCTAGGGTTTAGGGTTCTGATTTTGGGGGCTTGAATAATTAGAATAGGGTTTTGGGGCCCCGTATACTATACTTATTAGAATACGGAGCCCCTCAAAATAGTATTGGTTAATCCACCCATGAACCCTAAACCCTCTGAAACCCTTAAAGGAACCCTTAAGGGAACACCTTAAAGGAGCCCTATACTCCACCACTTATAACTAAATCAGTTTAGGCCC